TGTGTTGTTTTGATTTTGTCTTCATTATTGTTTGTCAGTTTTTAAATGTTTAAAATAAAAAAAGAGAAAAGAGGCAAACAGGTAAACATAAAAGCAAGTAATTTTTCTTCATTGGTCAAAGTACAGTTCAAGCTATAGTTCTATCTCTAAATTTTCAGATATTTTTATTTTAATTATACTATCACCAGCTAAGCAGTTAGACAAGAATCTGTATATACAATTACACCATGTCTTTCCCTTTGTTCTGAGCTCTGTATTAATGTATCACTGACTACCTTATCTTAATAACGTAATTTATATTTCTATAACCATATGACTTCTGTTGCAAACTTTAGTCTTGTTAAATTTCATTCCGTAATTCCTTCTTGTAAGTATGAATTTTCTTTTTCTGACTTCTAAGTACACTGAAGCTCTGTTTCTCAATCTAAGAGTTGTACAGCTTTTTTTTTTGTCTTTTTGAGACAGGGTCTCGCTATGCAGTTCAGACTGGCCTTGAGCTCACTTTGTAGCCCAGGCTGGTCTTGAACTCACAATGATCCTCCTGCGTCAGCCTCCCAAGTGCTGGGATTACAGGCGTGCGCCACCATACCCGGCCTCAGCATTTCTGAAGTATGATACACTTCTACATGGCCCAGGGTCAGTTACTGTTTTCTCTCCCTGAGTATCGGGACTAAGAACAAGGCTGTGGCTACCTCAGTGAGTGCTATCTGTGGTGCAGGACACATTAATCCACCAATACAGACACCTGAGTCCTAGAATCAAGCACTTGTACTCGAAGAAAGCAAAGCTCTCTTCCTGGAGGATTTAGAATACTTGAGGGGAAAGCAAGCACGTGCACAAGGAAAATAACTCTAGTGTAAAGTGATTAGTGCTCTGACAGAAGCTGAACAAGTCAGGGGAGTGAGCGGGAAGCACAAGTGCACCTCAGCCAGGGTCATGTTGCGGAGGGCTTGCGGAGGGCCGCTTCAGCTGGTCAGGAAAGCGGGCAGGAAGGGAGGAACACAGTGACTTCTAAAGCCTTAAGTATTACGTCCACCCTCTATCTGCTGGTCTTGTCCTATAAGTTCCTCTACGAAGCTCAGTAGTTTTCTCAGAATTCAGTTCACTCAATTTAATCAGTATAAAACTTAGCCAGTATAAGAAATTACTGTTCATTGTTCGATAAACAAGTAAAAATAAAAGCTCAAAATTCCAGGAGCAAACATGTAATTGGGTTCTACTTACTACCAACTCTATGCAAACTCAAAATCCAAGATTTAAAATACCTATAGCTAACAAATAACATTTCACAATGCAACAGAAATACTAGTTGGCTCAGAAATATCCTGTGCAGTTGAATGTGTCCCTCTAAAATTCCCGCGTTGCCTGTGTAACAGCATTAAGGGGTAGGGCTTTGTGGAGGTAATGAAGCCATCAGGATTTCTCCCTCCTAAATAGGATTACGGCCCTCATAAAAGAGGATTTATGCAGCACTTGGCTACTTTGCTCCTCCACCTTCCACCATGAAAGGACACAGCATTTCTCCTGCAGAGCAGCAGAGACCAACTGTCACTCTGGAAGTAGAAGGCGGCCCTCATCAGACCACAGAACCTGCCAGTCCAGGACTGTAAGAAAACACCTTTCTGTTCCCTTTGTCTTTTTGAGACAGAGACTTGCTCTGCAGTTCAGGATGGCCTTGGGCTCAGTACGTAACCCAGGCTGGCCTCAAACTCATGGCAAGCCTCCTGCCTCAGCCTCCTGAGTGCTTGGATGACAGGCATGGCCACCACTCCTGGCAACCTCTCTGTTCTTTATAAACCACCCCATCTCAGGTGTGTTGCCTCGGCAACACAAATAGACTGAGACAGGCTGCCACCACAACAGGCCAGAGATGGAGTGCTTAATTATCAGGAGTTTTCCTTCCAGTAGTTCTGGGCCCTGGAAGGCAGAACACGGTGCCAGCGGGGCTGATCTCCAGCCGCCCTGCCGAGCGCACATGCAGGACTTGTCCGAGAGCTCCGGTCTCCTCCTCTCCAGCAAGGACATCCATCCCATCAGACCCGGCTCCACCCTCACCACCCCCTCAGTACCTAAGGCCTTGCAAAGGCCCCTCTCCAAACCCACCTCCGGGGCAGGACTTCTGCCCGTTAGGGGGTCTGCTCACCGCAGGGACAGCTGAGCCCGGCTGAAGAACGGCAGCAGCTTTCTACTGAGGAAGCCGAAGTGCGGCCGGACTCCCTCTCGGCACACGTTAATGTCAAAGCAAATGAAACACCAAGACTACGCAGTTATTCTCAAAATGAGCCTTCTCATCCATTATTTTGTGACCTGAATTATTCAATTTATGACAATGAAATATCAAAAACGGTCTCGATAATATTATATATTGTGAAACATACCAAGTTTTTATGCTTAGGCTTAAATCTGAAAATTTAAGCTTCATGTTTGAACATTTTACAGAGGCAAATCTACCAATAATTTAAAATTAATTACTGCAAATTTCAAATGACCTTCAGTTTTACTTGCTGGAAAAAGTATCTTTACATGTTGTCAATAGCGCCTTTAGAAATTATGAAATTATATATATTTATTTTCACATATGATAGTGGGATACAGCTATACACTCTAGTCTTAATTATAGGAAATATAGACAACTATAAGGCTTAGCTTTATTGTTTTATAAATGAAGCAGTAAAGTTCATTTTAGTGAAATGAGCACACGCTTTTCATAAATTAAAATAAATCTCACACGGTAAAGTACCCATTTTCAAAATTAATTTAATTACATGTTTAAAGTTTAATTACATTTAATTAAGCATTTAAGTTTAATATGAAATAAATGAATTATCAGTTAACTAGTATGAAATGAAATACTGCCTTGATAATTAAAATCTATAAATTTTCCTATTCTGTACAAAACTTCTAGTTCTCAAAAAAACACTCAGAAAGTATGTATTTTAGAGACCCCTGCATCCAGGCTCCCGGCTCACCGAGGGGTAGTTCCTAGCACCCTCTGGGCAGCTGTGTACCCTGACCTCATGTGGATGCAGGCGTTTGGGGCAGAGGTTCTGGGCCCCTGGGATTGGGCGACCTGGGAGCGTTCCTTGGTGTTTCTGATCGCAAGTGTCCTATCAAATGAGAGAATACCCTTTCTCAAGGCTTGTGGGAGAGTTAAATATGCCATGGTGCAACGCCGGGAATGGTACCCACCTGTGGTAGGTATGTGACTACAGTTCATCTCTTCCTTCACTCAGTTGTGAATGTTGGAACAAGAACTTTGTACTTTTTGGCTAAGGAAAGTTCTAGCTGCAAACACATTTCCTCACTCACAGAAGCAACCCCTCACTCGCTGGGCACATGTTTGCTTCCTGGGGTGCTGGGGATGGACCAGGGGCAGCCAGGCTGCTGGCCGCTTGTGCTACCTGAGCCAGTCCAGGACAGCCAGCTCCAGTTGGCCTCAACTACCTACTGTGTGAGAAAATATGCAGAAGTTGTTCCCATACATTTCCCACGTGCGTACGTAAGTTTGGTTCACTGTGGGAAAAGTTAGGCGCGAATGGGGCCCGGGGATACAGCTCAGCAGGACAGCACCTGCTCGGCAAGCACGAGGCCCTGAGTTTGATTCCCAGTATCCCAACATAACCAAAAGATACAACAAAACAAAAAGTTAGGCGCTGGTGTAGTAGTGCAATCATTTGATTAAATTATCAATGTAGGTAGACTAGGTAGCATTTCCCTTTCCCTCAGCCTCAATTTTTTCATGAGGATATTAATTTTCACTGAACTTGAAGGATTTTCTCAGGGTTAACAGTAGGAGGAACTCAGCATCTGAACACAGGTTTCTATTCCTCTACCAGTGCTCTTTTCCTCATAACACAAAAGGTGAAAGCCAAAGACAGCCAAACCTTCGGAAGCCAGGAGGAGACGAGAGACACCCGACAGCCTAACTGGTTCTGCGATGGGATGCTGGGCCGCCGATAAATCGCTCTGGGAACCACCAGCTCCCGCAGGCGGTGCGCCCCTACCTCTGCAGGGTGAGCACGGGGTTGCCAGGGTGCAGTGCGGGCGGTGGGACAGACTGCCCCGGGGGCTCGTCTGCCTGAAAACCGGAGGGCCGACCCACGCAGTGCCTCCCAGACTCGGCCCCAGGAGGACGTGGGAAAGGCCGTGGGAGCAAACCGAGTGAGTGTGAGTAGAAAGTCTGCACTACATTCTCAAGTAGTATTTCCAGAAAAGAAACCACAGGTTTGTCAGTCTCAGTTCACAACTCCCTGTGCATTAAATCTTCACTTACTAACTCATTTCATATTGAATGTAATGGTTTTATAGTGATGAAGATAACCAAGGCTACAACCCTATTCCATAGCTTACAGTAATAAAATTGGAATTAAATATTAACACTTTATAAATCATTCAACACCAAGTCCTGTAATTTTCAGTGTTCTGTTTTACTGAAGTTATTAACAGTATAAATGAATTTGGGTTGTTTTAACACTTAAACTCTTCCCTGTAAAATTCAAACTTTAAATTCTCTTGTCATCTAAAACTATACAGATTGTTTTATTTATAGCACAACTAGTCTTAGGAAAGTACATACCTAACTTTTTGAAAGTGTACCTTCCCTGCTATTATCGTCAATAAGTATTTATTAATTATTTGCATGTTGAAGGACTCTGACTTAGAACTATTTCACACTTTCTGGGAAAATAAATCCAGAGATCCTAACTAGCCTGGTGTCTACAGTTTTCAAGCTGTCAGTTAAAACGACAGCCAGTCTAACAGTACAGAACCAGAGGAAGGAGAAGAACAAGAACGAGAGGGACAGCAGGACGTGACAACACCACACACAGAGGTATTATGAGACCTATGTATAAGTATAATTACATATTGCAGGAACATGAGGTTTACTAGCAGGGTACGTAACCTTAGATATGTATTCTTTCAGAAGTGGAAAAATGCATTCTATTAACCAGAATTCACACTGAAATCAGAATTTGCTTTTATATGGACCATTAACTTACCAGGGCTCCACAGTGAGGGGTGGAGATATTCTTTCTGGAAGGAAGAACCCATGCCACTTTGCAGTTCTGAGGAGTTCCTGCGGTATCTTTTTCGATGTGTCATAATAATGACCAAATCTTGAAGACGACACTGGTCCAGCCTGCCAAAACAACCCATAATGGTTATTTAAGAAAATTATTTTTAACTACAATTTCCTCATCCTACAGCCAGCAAAACAATGATATATATTTATGTACCTTAATACATAAATGTTCCTTTACTGCCAAATTTAATAAGCATTAACACTTTTTACTCTATCTTAATGAATAATTTAAGAATAATAAAGATACATAATTCTTACTTAATGTTTAAGATTACAGGTTTTAAAGAAAAATTAAATAGGCAATTGCTAGGAACTAAGTGAAAACTAATCAAAATTCATTCACTGGTGAGAGGGCCCCCCAAAATCAGGCACTGAAGTATACTCAATTGAGTCTAATTTTAAAACAAAATGCTCACAAGATAAAGCGCATGTATGTTCAGTATTTCTTACAGGCTTTCAAATTAAGCTTAGGGAGTTCAAAGCCAGCCTGAACTTACATAGTGAGATGCTGTCTCAAAAAAACCAAACCAAACCAAATAAATCAAATTAAGCTTAGGGCATAAAAGGCACTACATTGCTCTAGGCAAGAACACCGCACAGGAGAGAGTGGGAAAATGTAGATTAGTTGTATTAGACCAATCAGCACTTGTCAGACTCAATAGTTCACTGGTAATTTCTGCTTTGCACTTCCTATTAATAACTTCTCCAGCAAACTTTTTCCTAAGAAACTAATCACTGTTGGCAATGTATTTATATAGGTTATAAAATTGTACTAGTTATTTTATTGCTTTGTTTTGTTTTTTGTCTTTTTTGAGACAGGGTCTTGCTATGCAGTTCAGGCTGGCCTTGAGCTTACTTTGTAGCCCAGGCTAGTCTCCAACTCGCAACGATCCTCCTGCCTCAGCCTGCAGAGTGCTGGGATTACAGGCGTGTGCACCACGCCTGGCTATTTTATTGCTTTGAATGAGCTCTTGTCTGAGTTTTCATTTTGCACATTAGGAAAAAATACACACGTTGATGCTCGTGCACGTGCACGCACACACACCTCTCTACCCAAACTTGCAAGTTAACAAATTCCACCTGGCAATAGTTCCTAGTAAAAGATATCATCTTAGATAATTTCCATTGTCCTAAATGCTAAAAAGGCAAATTTCAAAACATTCAACAAAACTAGATATTCTCTTCAAAAACAGAAAAACTATATATGGTGGGTTCTTATCCTACATCTTATTAAGTAACAGTTTTAAAACTTAAATAAGAACACACATTTGCTTGATACCAGATATCTGCATTCAATACTTCAGAAATGTCTATTTGTAAATTCAATGGTGATATCCACCAAATTATACAGTAAATGGGATAAAACATTTCTAACAGAGGCATCTTCTCAGATTTGGTCTGTGGGTTTAACATTTACTTTCCTAATAAAATAACTGTTCATCTATAAGATACTACTCATTTTCTTTAATGAAAGAGATCTATCAGTTGGCTTCAATCTAATCTTTCTAATGTAATATTATGTGCAGAGTTATGGTTCCCAAAACATGATTTATTCATTAACTATGAAAATACTAACAAATAAATCATATGCTATTAAAATATATTTCCCATAAACAGGGTGCAAAGTTTTTAAATGTAGTTATTAGTCTAAAACAAGGTTTTAGCATCAGTCCTAAACAAGGTCTGTTCTTTGGCCTATAATCTACCCCTTATCCGGATTACGGTTCAGAATGTTTTCCCTGCGATCTCTGCCAGAGCTCATCTTTTCATTGTGTGAGCCCAAGCCCCCTCAACGTTTTAGAAAGGCCTTGACTAACTGAACTTTGATCTGATGTCTTCATTGAGAAAAACACCAGGTCGCCCATTTCAGATGCAAATCCCCCTGAGGCCCCATAGAATTTGGTAAAGACAGCAAAAAAAGAAGAAACCAGAAGTTTCCAGGATCCTCTTTGAGAAGCCGGGGGCACACTGGTGTCCCTAATCCACGAGCAGCACGGATTATGGCAGGCGATAACCTTTCCTGATTCAAAAGGCTAAGCAGAGTGCCTACAAACCGGGCGGAGACTCGGATTTGGCCATAATGAAACACCACCATGCACTAAGAGCCTGGTCTGCGTCACAGCCCTCAAAGGGACTCAATGTAGCCCATTCCCAGGCCTGGCAGGGAAGCTTGCAAAAGCCTACCTGAATCAAACAAGCATGAATAATCTATTTTAGCAGACTGGCCATGGGGAGCAGGAAAGAAAGAGACTTTCCACTTCTTTTAAGTTTGAGTTAATAAATTTATGAGTGGGCTGAAGGTTCTTGAAGCCCTGCGCACTCAGAGAAATATGCTAAACTGCCAAGAAGAGCAGTATGCTTTTTAAGTCGCTGTCTCTATCAGTGTTTCTCATTACAATATTAATGTGATAGAAATCTCAGATTTGGGGTGAATCAACGCAGAAAATTGATTTCATGCTGTGACAGTTTACATATATATGACACAAATAATTCATTAAAATGTAAAAATGAAATTGGAAGCTTTTCTCATTATCATTGTTATCAAATTATTTAGAAATTAAGATTCAACATGACAGCTTAAAAGTACAAGGTAGACATAAAATTTTGCTACTGATTTAAAGACTTCAACGTTTCAACTACAAGAGAAGACAACTACATTCTTACAGGACAAACAAGCTTGCAGGTTTTCTCCTCCTACCTCCCCCCGACGGTGTTAACACATAAACAGATACCAGAAACACAGACATCTCTTGAGGTCCAGAATGGTGAAACACTCACACACCCCCTCTAGAAAAGACAGCTACATGCTACAAATAATCATCATCATCCATAAAATACTACGATCAACTTCATAAAAAAAGATGCATTAAAAATATCAAACTGTCATCAATCACCAGCGTACTCGGTCTACTAAGAACATGTTACTGTAGTTTTACGTTAGGGGAGCTTCTGTTTCACACTCATACATTACCTGTAACTTTACCTGCCACTGAGGAGGACAATGTAATAGTAAAAACTTACTGTGCTAAAAGAAAATGAACTCAGTGAGGTAGAGAAGGAAAACAGCAATAAAAGATACCACACTCCTCCCCAGGACGTGAGGCGGAAGCAAAACTTCCAGAAAGTTTTGTGCCACAGCACAAGTAAACGGTGCAGAGAAGACACCTTCTGACCATGCTCTCGTTTCCTGTTTCTCAGTATGGCACAGGAAAGCAAGAAGCCAAATAGCCACGAAACTACTGTGAGTCTCAGCTCAGTCGGCCGAACTGGAGCCAGTGATTATTTTATTAGGCTGTTGTGAGAATCTAGTGCAATACTGTCAATGGACATTCTATAATTGTAAGGCACTGTGGAAACGCTATTAATTATTGTGATTGTGTCATGATTCACTAGAGGAGCAGAAGATCTATCACTGTCCTTGGTAATTAATTGTCTTATGGAAAAATGACATTTGTTGGTCATCTACACATGCAGACATCTGTCGCAAGATTGTAGGGCTGAACACTAGGACAGAATGCCAAAGTGTAATGAGAATTTAATATAATGAAGACCCAACACTACCATGAAATCTGGAGCCACAGTAGGCCACGGTGACAGAGGTCTACAATACCGAAGAGGTTAAATTTCAGAACACAGCGGCCAGCTTGTGCAGTGAGGAGGGAAGGGCTGTGGATCAGACAGCAGAGAAGGGGGCAGGTCCACTGTGGAGAGAGAATCAAAGTCATATGGTGAGGGAAGGGAGCTTTTCAAGACCGCAGATATTCTGAAGTATCTAGATGGGCAAAGACTTGTTCAATGTTCTATGCTACTGATTTACGTGTGTGTGCTCTTACCCTTTCTACGTCCCCAAGTGGGACTACAGCTATATTCTCAAGACCTGGCGACAGCTTACACCAAGGGGGTGCCTACGACTCAACACATCTGGGCTTGGCCCACTTGGTTCATCCTCAACTATAACCACGTTAACTGCCCTCTGTACCAAGTGAAACAACAGAAAACCTAGCTTTTTCCTTCGTTTGGTTTTGCTATAAACTGGAAGTAGTGGGGCTACTGGTGTTGCTCAGTGGCTAAGCATTTGTCTGGCACACATGAGGCCCTGGGTCTGATCCCCAGCACCACAAACTAAACTAGAAATTGCAGAGTGAGTAGAAATCTCACAAAGTACATCACGATGAATGGTGACCAAGGACTCTCCGTTTCAGTAAATCATTACACAGAAAACCAGCGTCGGGCGGAGGATACAGCTCAGTAGTAGAGCACCTGTTTAGCACATGCAAAGCCTGGGATCTGACCTCAGCAGGACAAACAATAAAATAACCTCGAAAGGCAAATATACATGCTGGAGACACTTCAGACAAAAGCAAAGAAGCCACGAGATTCTGTTCCCTGTAGCACTCACAATAAGATAAACTGAAGTTTGACCATCAACTATAAATTCAAATAAGCTGTTGTTTTGTGTTATTTATTAATGCCATTGAACTTATTATTAATGCAACTTAACTCAATTTAACTTTTTTAACTTCCATGTTGTACAATCCATTCATTCATACAACCAAGTGACTGGTGAGCACCCACTATATGCCAGTAAAACGAAGCAGCCAAAATCTCTTTCATACTAGCAGGAGACAGATGACAAGAAGACACGTTATCTGCTACTTTAACGGCCTTCAGTGGCCGGAAGGAAAACAAAGCACGGCATGAGACGACAGGACAGTGGGAAAGCACTCCTGGTGCAGCGACGCACCAGCAAACCCACGGGGAAGATGGGAGGGTAAGTGACTCAGGTCGTTTTCAAAACATTCAGGCTTTAACCTTTGAAAACCACGCTGAGAGTTACTTGCTAAATGTTCCACCTGGAGGAGGCTGCCTCCATAAATGATCAAGGCACCAAGAGGGGCACTGTATTCTCAATGGCAGAACAGAATTAGCACCTGGGTATGTGAATCTAGAATTGTAAATTATAAAGAAACAATTGAGTTTTACGTTAACAAAGAACCCTTTCCCCCACTGTAGGCAGACTGCACAGCAGGCAGTGCGAGCAAAGGCTGAAGGACGCTGATGACCAACTAAAACACCAGCCCTGGGACGGGAGTAAAAGGAGAAGAAACTGAGGAAACTAGTGCTGTAGCATGAAATCTCGCCAGCCTGGGAGTGCAGTAAAATTGTCTCAGACTTTTAAAAAAAATTTTGAAAGGGCTGGGGACAAAGCACAGTGCCAGAGTGCTTGCCTAGCACATGCACGGCCTAGGTTAGGTCCCCAGTACAGGACTGTAGGAAAGAAACAACAACCAGCAAAGAAACAACAACCAGCAAACAAACAGCCCTGCAGAGTTCCCGACTGCAGCGGACAGACTTAACTGAACTCAAGCTCTGAACTCAAGCTCTTTCTGAACTCTGCTGACTTCAGAAACTTCCCCTCGTCTCGCACCGCAGCCTAGTTGGACAGCTGAGATAACTGAGTTTGGTAATTGCCGACTATGTGTAGGAATAAAAAGAGCAATTCCAAAACCTCTTACACTGAATACTCATAGGTAACCGTAATGGACATAAATGGCTTCTCCGTTCACCTACTGGTGCTGGCAACCCTAGAATAAAGAATTCCATATGGAAATTAGGGAGGAAACGGAAAAATCTATTTTGATAAAAAAAATTATCGTCATTTTATTTGTAAGATGTATACCATCTCAATAAAACTCTCTAAATGAAATACCTAATTATTTAGATAAACAAATATCCTTTGTATTGCATTTAAAGAATAACAGGTGTACAGCCAGTGTCTATGAAACGAAAGTAAGTACACTTGCAAATTTTACAAATAGCTTGTGGAGTGACTTGCCTCCATCTTGGGTAATAACTGGTACCGCCAAGCTATTTTCATCTTCATACTAGAGTCTGGTGTCTTATGATTACATCCATCTTCATCAAATTCTTTTTCATAACTATCATCAAGCAATGGTGCAGGGAGTTCCTAAGAAAACAGAACAAAACATTACTGAGCATCTATGGTAAATATGACAACTTTTCAAATCATAATATTAGCAAAACTACAACTTTCCAACGTATTAAAAATTGATGCCTTAGTATTTATTTAAGCATGAATAAATGATAATATAGACATTTCTAAAACAGAAAAAGGGTATAATGTCAAATGAGAAATTTAATATTTTAGTAATGAACTAGAATTTAAAAATATTTGAGTTTCTATATCACAAAAATCAACTGCTATTCCAATAAAAGGCTAAGCATATTTTTCAAAAAATTTATTTTAAAGCAAGTCTGGAATGAACACTTACATGTTACATATAACTATTGTTGTATTTCCCAAGGTAAAAATAAAGCACGTGTGCCGTCTACTACTGGTTTGTAATTCCAGGATTCAAGAAACTCACGCACCAGAATAACGGGTAAAGTAACAACTTCGAAGAAAGACATTCACTTTCCCCACATCAAGTACTAGTTTTGCACCTGCAAACTCTTCCTTACCAACGAAAATAGAATTTAAAATCTCTGATCAAATGAAGAGACACCAAATCCCAATTTACTAACTTCAGAGGGTGACCTAAGTTGACTACAAAAAGCAGATAATGTTTTACTCTTGTAAACAGGTACTATGGAATGTTTTAAAGACAAAACAAGTTTTTTGAAGAATTAAAGCATATGAAATAATTAGAATCACAAAGATGATATAGGGCTTTAGTAAACATAACCTCGTAGACTGTAATTTTTACTTTTTAAGGTCAATTTTATGTTTAGGCTTATATTATGAACTAATCAGCTGGAAAATAAATTATATTTTGGTCACTTCCCGGCAGACCGCAAAGTGGATTCATGTTGGTTTTGTTCTTTGAGACAGAGTCTCGCTGCCTAGTCCAGAGTGGCCCAGGACTCACTGTGCAGCCCAGGCTGGCCTCAAACTCTTTTGATCCTTGTGCTGGGCTGACAGGCATGCACCACCACGCCCCGCAGATTCATGTTGTAATTCACGCCAGTACTGGAATTTAGTTCTATCATTTAAGCCCTGAATCCATCATTCTACCAAAGCAGTGGGATCTTAAATATAAATTAACTTCTCTTTCTAGTGGAAATAAGTATCTGTGATGTTACAGTGTAATACAGCACCGCGCTACAAGTCTGATTGCACAACCAGAGTGCCTGGCTTCACACACTGACTTCCCAGGAGGAGCGTGTCCGGCTGACCTGGGCCGCCCACCAGATTTCTCTATCGGCACTCCTCTCTGAGAAATGCTATTTACCTCCGCGTGTTGTCGTCAGAAAGAAACAAGTTAAAAACGTAAAATGGCACTTGCTACACACTAAGCGTCCAATAAATGCTGGACCAGAAGAAGTGAATCAAATCCTGTTTCTCTGAGCCATACATTTTATATCATCAGTATTTTGGAAGTTAGTATAAAATACTTAGATTCACATATTTTTCTAATGCAGGAACAGTAATAATAGTTATGACAAAGGTTACCCATACTGAAAATTAATTTTTCAACAGGGATGGAATACTCTATTTTAATATTTATATCACATTATCTCCCAGTGTTTAAAATATGCAAATTGAAAGAAACTGTTGTTATATTAATGCATGCAGAAATGAATGAAACAGAAAAAATAGTGCTAGCGGGGTATAGTGGCACACGCCTATAGTCCTAGCTCCTTGAGAGGCTGAGGCAGGAGGATTCCAAGTTTTAGGCAATGCTGGTCAACTTAGACAGATCCTGTGCCAAAATAAAACTGAGAAAGGACTGTGGATGTAGCTCTGTGGTAGAACACGTGCCAACTGTATACTCGATCCCTAGCACCACACACACAAACCCTAACATAAAATAGCATAGTCTTCTTATTAACACAGTCACACATCTAAATAAGACTATAAAAAAGCATTTTCCAGCTACCTCATTATATATGAGCTATGAATTTGGGCCTGGGTAGTCGGTTCCTGCGTGCGTGTTCTTTTTTCTTGGAAACGAAGTCTCCCTATGCAGTTCAGGCTGGGCTTGAACCCACTATGTACCCCCGGCCAACCTTGAACTGGGGCGATCCTCCACTCAGCCTCCCAAGTGCTGGGATTTCAGGTGTGCATGGCCCTACGTGTGTGTTTTTAACCACAGGCTACACTCCCTCTCTTACAAGCTTTCATTATTTGGGGGCTTGGAGGGGGGCACAGCAAACAGTTATATAACAAATATGACAATAAATGCAAAAATTTGGGAAAGGCAAGAAGATAAAACTATTTTTTTAAAAGTAGTCAAGGACTGTCTCTTTGATAAGGTCAAAACTGATGAAAAGAATTCATTATAAAAATAAACCTAGAATTAATTGAAAATCTATATAATATACTACTACAAATATTCTCCATATACATGTGCTATCACCTATATATAATTAATAATCTTCTAGGGGAGTATCTATGCTATTCTTCAGATCACGTTAGATTAAAAACAGCACAGTGTTTAAAGAATTAGGTATATAAATCCTGAGGAACTTTAATTTAATCTCAAGTTATTTCTACCTTCCAACACTTCTAATCAGGTATTTTTTGGTTTTCATTTTCTTTTTGGTTCTTTTGTCACTGTTTTGTTTGTGTCAAGTTCAAGTTTCCTATTACGTTTATAATTACTGTAAATTTGTGTATGTAAATAACATGCAGATAATTTTTTTCTGAAAGAAGGAAAATATTTTACTAAAATATAAAAATTTAAATTTAAACAATTCATATTTAGATTGTAAAATCTATTTTTTCCATATGTAATTTTTTTTTTTTCCTTTTGAGGAAGGGCTCACTATGCAGTTCAGGCTGGTCTTGAACTCACTTTGTAGTGCGGGCTGGTTTCAAACTCACAACGACCCTCCTGCCTCAGCCTCCCGAGTGCTGCAATTACATGTGTGAACCACCACGCCCGGCCTCCATATGTAATTATGGAAAAACGTTTTTTCCTTAATTGTCCTTTTCTGCACTTAATAAAAGATCCTAGATGCCAATTAAAACATTTTATAATCTGAGGTAGTTTTACTAATCTATTATGCATATTACATATATTATAGTTTATATTTTAACTGATGATATAATTTCCACATTTAATCGTAAGATTTTCAGTGGCTATAAAGTATTACGATATCAATCAAAACTCACTGTCATTCTCTTTGTTGAACCTTTATATTGTTTGCAACTTAATGCTACAACAAACATAGTTGTTTATAACAAATGACCTTTGCATCTCAAACTATTTGTAGGAGATATAGAAAACAGAGAAGACAATATATATAATAATAGTACACTTTCTACAACCTGGATTTAAAAAATATTAACAACCGCATACTTACAAAACAAAGCAGTTAATTTCAGCAAGCAAGGAGCAATATTTTGTGTGTCTGTGTATGTGAAAACAGGACTGGTGGAAAAATCTTTAAAAAGAACTGTAGGACACCCAATCCTATACTTTCCCCAAGATTCAAAATACTACTGCTACCCCACTGTGAAGGAAAAGGTAAAATAAGACAAACTTTGGATACAGAAGCACCATTAAGGGGAGAGGTTAGATATTATATAGACAATGGTATTTTTTGAAAGGCTTCACACACAAGGGTGGAACGACTTCCTGTCCTGCCACCAAACACACACACACACACACACACACACACACCATTCAGCACCACATCAGAGTTGCTATCAGAATGTCAGAAGCTATTTGTAAACACAATAGGCAGGAAATTAGGAGACTGGACGCTTCTTCCCAGGGTAAACTGACACAACTAAGAAACCGTTGCAGGGATCCCACTTGCTAAGCCTATGATAACCTCCACTGGCCCACAAATCGCATGTTCAAGCACACAGAGGTGTTCAGTCCTGCACTGCAGAATATGAAAGCATCTGATACAGAACTCAAAGACAAAGACAAGCAGGAAACACCAATAATGCTAGAAACAGAGAAAAATTATGCAAAGAATACAAAGATAGAAGATGAAAGGAAATAATTGGGAAAAAACAGAATGTACAGAATTACAAATGTAATAAGAAATTTGAATTTAACAAAAATAAAACAATGACAAAAAAACAGAAACACAAAAGCAAAAACCATCAGATTTGAAGTGCTGGAGAGTAAAGGAGTGGTAAAGACCAGCAGCAAAATACAGCCTCTCTCCGAGACCTGGGTTCCTTCCATGTGGAAAAGAAGAATGTGGGGAATCAAAAGGGAAGTGGCTCTCCGGAATTTGGGAGCTAGCTGGCAGGAGAACTAGAAACAGGAGAGAAGCCGCAGAAACGGAGCACAAATCAAGAGCAGAAAAGCAGTCTGGAAGGTGTACCCCAGCTCCTGGCGAGGGCACCCTGTCTCCTCAGACGCAAGGCCAGCCTGAAGAGAGCTGGCCGCTCCAGCGGTAAACCACGACTGGACCGGCAGCACGCGCCACAGAGAAGCCCACACTCAGCCGCGCGGTGGTGCACGCCTGCACGCCCGGCTCGGGAGGCCGGGAGGAAACCCGGGGTGGTGCTCATCGTCTACGAGAGCGTCTGATCAGGAGCAGTTTTGGGAATGGGTTACTCGGTTAAAGCCGAGCTACAGAACAAGTACTGAACAGTGTACGTCAGGGGTGTGGGGGTTGCCTTACCACGGACGGCCGGGAGACAGCCACGAGACAGCTGGGCAGAGACTGTGAGCTAGAGGCAGACCCAGAAAACAGCTCAAGCAGGGAGGGATGTGGGGGTCTGGACTGCCGTGGTGAGAAGTCCAGCAGGTCAGGAACGGTCTTCAGAGGGGGGCTAGGTCTGAAACTGATGGCTTTAGTCCAACAGGCTGCTTGGTCCCTTTTCCCTGGACTTGCTGCCTACACCCAGCACAGAACTCTGGTCTGCCTGCTTTCTCCATCTGCCAGTGTGATTGGTGTATGCCTTTGCTTGGACAGCTGCGGTAGCCTGAGGTGTATGGACAGAGACACTTCTGAAGCGGGGGCACCTCAAGCTCA